GCAGTACTGGAAACAGCATTATTAGACAGTTAGACAAAAAACAAAACAAAATGCCTGTCTAGATCAATCGCACATCCATATGTTTGTATGTTGATATGCTTGTAAATAATATTAACGTAAAAGTCGAAACAACCTAGACTAGAAGTCAATTCAGTCCAGCCAGCTATGGCTCCCTAAGTTGCTTATATTTAATCAGATACTATTTCGTCATCATGCTTTGTTACCTTACCTGTTTATACCTCATGAGGGCGTTTTTTATGGCAAGATGGCGCAAACGGAAGTCCTTCGCAGGTTTATGGTTTCTCATATTTAAATCATCATAACTCTGAAGATAATCATTTTTTTTCATTTTTTTTTTCAAATTTATAATCAATATACATAACTTGATAAATACAAACACCAAAATAGGCTCTATTTAGTTCCCCTTTAATAATACCAAGCATAGTGCATACAATTAACAAATTGTTTATCAATTGTTTTCAGGGTCCATCAATTCAAGATTTTGACATTATCAAACCGATAAGCAGAGGTGCTTTTGGGTAGGTAATATTATATGTTTACTTTTACATTGTGATTCATTGGATGTGCATCTGTGGGAAGATAGCTATCCTGGCTATAGCAAAAACTATCATCAGTGTTTGTTCTATCGTAATAGAAGTGCATTGCAAATAGAAGAACACATAAACAATTAATTGCTTTTGTTGTATGTTGATCATGTAAATGTCTTATTTTTACCAAAAACTCACCTCTGTCATTTTATATAAGCACAGGCATTTTTATAGAGCAAAATACAATTTGGGCCTTTCCAAATTGAATGGCTTAACAGGTACAATTCTCCCTAGAAGCCATTGAGTGGCTTCTATCTAATGTTGTTTTAGTAATGGTTATTCAGTGGAGTGAGTTTGATGATAAGAACCTCACTGTAATCAAAACCAAGCTCAGTAGATCTACAAATATTCCTTATAAAATGATTTTGATCAAATCACTCTTTCAATTTCATTATTGTATCTCTACAGGAAAGTATTTCTGGGTCGACATAAAGCCAAAAACCAATTGTTTGCTATAAAAGTAATGAAGAAAGCTGACCTGGTGATCAAAAATATGGTTCAACAAGGTAAGGAGGATCACGCTCTTTTCACTATTTCTGTATGGTGCTTATTTGAATTAACATTTTAACAAATTGTCTTTTGCATAAAACATGAGCAAATTAAGACATGTGCAACTCAATGCGTAAAAACTAGAACGTTGACTCGTATCTTATTTGTTCGATACCCTGTCCATCCAAAGCCTGGCCCATGGGTGATGTTTAGGCAGGTGATCTTCTGGTTGCAAAAGCTGCTGTCAATTTAATGAGTCTAGTGTAGATCAATGTGTCGCAAGTATTCTAATTTTTTCTTTCTTTTGATCACAATTAATGTTTTTTCGTAGTCACTGATGTCTATTCAAAATATGATGTAAGATAGTGACTATTGTGACAGTAGGCTGTTATCGTGAAAAGTTCCAATAATCAGTTTAGCCTGTAAATTTTAATTTTCTGATGGTTTATGAAAAAAAAAAATTACTAAAATTACATGTAATGCCAAAAAATCATACTGCAACACTACAAAATCATGGTTTATCATAGTTTTGATAAATATGTTTGAAAAAGATAAATATGGTTAGTAAATAATACTTGCCAACAATTATAAACATCACAGCAGTAAATAAACATCAAACAGTGAAAATCAGGTCAAAATGTGACAGTGCATTTTTATATATACATGTATAATTCCATTATGGTGAAATTAGCATTCATTATTTGCAGAACACCACCCACTGTTGGTGAACGCCATGAAAAATGATAAAATCAGTTAGTTTGACTGAAGCATTGAAAATGTTTAACCTTTTCACCAGCAGAATGAAACTGCGCTTTTTTTCTTATATTCTTCAATATTTCTGGAAATAAATCCTAATTTTGGAACCAACAGACAAAATTTGAGTAAACTTTCAGTTTTTACTCAAAAAATTTGGCTATTTTTGTCCCAATCTTCTAAAGAAAAATGCAGTCTATAAATGAAACTATTTTGTGATTAAAAGAGGAAACTGGTGATGAAAAGGTTATACTTACTTTTCATTGTTATAATCATGCAAAGCCACTTTGCTTTATTTTAAAATAAATTTTAGGATTCTGTTGATTATGATTTTTTACGGTATGTACAAAATTCATAGTTCTTAAGGTGATTACAGGAGTTAGTATGAGATTCTCTTTAAATCATACAAAGTTAGAATCATGTATTTTAAACATCATATATTTTTTTCACATCAGTTATTGCAGAACGTGATGCCATGGCCGTATCGAAGAGTCCATTTGTAGTTCGTCTTTTCTATTCATTTCAAACAACTCAGAATGTATATCTGGTAAGTGTTGACACTGACCTCTGACCTTGAGGTGACCTTTGGTTTGTTAAAGTTGAGTGTCTTTTCACATTGTTTACCAAATCAAAAATTTAAACAGAATTTAAACAAAAGTATGCATTATCAGACTAGCAACATTAATTCAGTGAAAAAATGTTATGATTATGGTAATGGGTATTCTAATGTATTCAATTTTGTACTTGATGTCAGGTTATGGAGTATCTAATAGGCGGAGATGTAAAGTCATTATTGCATATGTATGGCTATTTTGATGAAGACATGGCTGTGATGTATACAGCAGAGGTCATACTGGCCCTGAAATATCTACACAACCATAGTATAATTCATAGGTATGTATCAAGTCATAGCTGTGATGTATACAGCAGAGGTCATACTGGCCCTGAAATATCTACAACAACCATAGTATAATCCATAGGTATGTATCAAGTCATAGCTGTGATGTATTCAGCGGAGGTCATACTGGCCCTGAAATATCTACACAACCATAGTATAATCCATAGGTATGTATCAAGTCATAGCTGTGATGTATACAGCAGAGGTCATACTGGCCCTGAAATATCTACACAATCATAGTATAATCCATAGGTATGTATCAAGTCATAGCTGTGATGTATACAGCAGAGGTCATACTGGCCCTGAAATATCTACACAACCATAGTATAATCCATAGGTATGTATCAAGTCATAGCTGTGATGTATACAGTGGAGGTCACACTGGCCCTGAAATATCTACACAACCATAGTATAATTCATAGGTATGTATCAAGTCATTGCTGTAATGTATATAGCGGAGGTACTGGCCCTGAAATATCTACACAACCATAGTATAATTCATTGGTATGTATCAAGTCATAGCTGTGATGTATACAGCAGAGGTCATACTGGCCCTGAAATATCTACACAACCATAGTATAATCCATAGGTTTGTATCAAGTCATAGCTGTGATGTATATAGCGGAGGTCATACTGGCCCTGAAATATCTACACAACCATAGTATAATCCATAGGTTTGTATCAAGTCATAGCTGTGATGTATATAGCGGAGGTCATACTGGCCCTGAAATATCTACACAACCATAGTATAATTCATTGGTATGTATCAAGTCATAGCTGTGATGTATATAGCAGAGGTCATACTGGCCCTGAAATATCTACACAACCATAGTATAATCCATAGGTATGTATCAAGTCATAGCTGTGATGTATACAGACGAGGTCACACTGGCCCTGAAATATCTACACAACCATAGTATAATTCATAGGTATGTATTAAGTCATAGCTGTGATGTATACAGCGAAAGTCATACAGGCCCGGAAATATCTACACAACCATAGTATAATCCATAGGTATGTATCAAGTCATAGCTGTGATGTATATAGCGAAGGTCATACTGGCCCTGAAATATCTACACAACCATAGTATAATTCATAGGTATGTATCAAGTCATAGCTGTGATGTATTCAGCGGAGGTCATACTGGCCCTGAAATATCTACACAACCATAGTATAATCCATAGGTATGTATCAAGTCATAGCTGTGATGTATACAGCAGAGGTCATACTGGCCCTGAAATATCTACACAACCATAGTATAATCCATAGGTATGTATCAAGTCATAGCTGTGATGTATACAGACGAGGTCATACTGGCCCTGAAATATCTACACAACCATAGTATAATCCATAGGTATGTATCAAGTCATAGCTGTGATGTATACAGTGGAGGTCATACTGGGTTCTCCACGGTTTGAAAATTAAACAGCCAATGTGAAGTGGGCGTGGCACATTTGTAACGTGCATCATTGGCAAGGATGTTGAAAAATGGAAACCAAAAAATCTATTAATCTACATTTTATTACATATGCATAATTTATATTTATTATTACAAAATGAATAGGAATTTTGAAGAGCTATTATTAAGTAAACGTCAGCACGTACAATCAGCTGATTTTAGCTGCACGATTCCTCAAGCGGCGACATCAGTTGTTTACAAGTAATGATCGCGTCCAGAAAAAGACGTAACAAGTTTGTTAATTTATTTTCCCAAATAGATACATACATGCTTTATTTAATTTTTAGCAAAAATTTATATTTGTGAGATATATTTATTTGGACGAAGCAAAATAAAATGTATGATGTCACACAAACGTTCGTAATTGGTTCATTAAAAAACTTGCATGAATGCCATCAAAAACCAAGGTGATCAAATGAAATAAAATGTACACAATAGAAGATTTTCGATCTGCAGTTAACAGTTACTATCAAAAATAATAGAATTAGGTATAAAAAAACAAAATACATACTTAAAAGAATAATTTTCATTTGAATCGAAAGTTTGTTGATGTCTGCTTCGTTGAAAACAGCTATGACCCGGAAACAGTTCATTTTACTGTGTGCACCCTGATACTATGTAACGATGCTTTTGATTGGCCAAAGCCACGCATTGACGGGAAAAACAACCAATCAGAATATTTGTTCCAAAAGAACACAAGTAAATTTATTTCCTCCACTTATGATGTGAGTTGAAAGCATGGCTATTTTACTGGGGTTTTTAAATCGTGATTTAAAGAAAATTCAACTTTAAATAGTGACATTTAAATATAAACATTTACATGTTCAAGCAAGCATTCGTGTGGACTTCTTGGTGATCAGCAATGTCTGTGATGGTACGTCGGCTGCGCTGGTCGTTTATCGATCATGCAAGTGCATAGCTGCCCGGTTGCTGCCTTTGTTCCTCTCGGCGGTGACGATGTTGCCACTACCTCGTCACGGCGTGAACTTGGTTTTAACCATAGACCTTATGTTTAACGAATGGTTTTACCGATACTGACATCACCCTGGCAGTAAATATAACAGAGCGCTGACAATTTAAACAGAGCGCCAATTTCAGATAACAGGGCGCGGCGCCCTGTAAACCCGAGTTTCACCCAAGATGATCTGTTGTATATTGATAACATAATTAATGAGATACATCGTCATTAAGTTATATTCATGTTAGTAATTTTGTTTTTACTCACGTAGGGATCGAAGCCAGATAATATGCTAATGGCGGATAATGGACACATCAAATTAACAGATTTTGGTCTTTCAAAACTATGCCTCAATAGAAGTGAGTAAGTCATTTTGTCGTTCATGAGCATCTTCGCTGGGCAAGGAACGTTTGGTTAAGGTCACCCCTCCAAATTGAATCATGACAGATTGTTGTGTATTACGACAGAAATAAATCAGCCAATCAGCTATGTAGTATCAAAATACAATAGAGCGGGTCTTATGTAACAGGCGACCCAAGCAGAACAGATCATGCAGTTTTTCATGATAAAAAGCCGCACCGATCACCAAAATCATGCAATTGAGGCATTACTAGCTGAAAAAGACGAGTTTGTTGCACTTTGCTGATGAATTATGCCACAAACAGCCTGCAACGTTTGCATAAAAATTTGTAGAAAACTGTTTTTTTTTTAGGTTTGGCAAACAACCTACACTCGCAGTTACTAGAAGAATTTTAAAGTAACTGTGTTACATGTCATCATTTCTGACATTTTGTTCGTTGTGTCGTCTCAGCAGCGTTCTTTAGCTTATCACGCAATGTTACACAGCGTCTGATTGAGCGCCTTTCCAACAGATGCATCCAATCAAACTTGGCTATTTGTTTAACATAAAATATGTGTTTATCCATGGGTTGGTGGAGTCGGCAATACGTCGGCAGCAACAAACCATGCGATTCGGACGATGGTTGATGCGATAATTTCAATTAATCGAAATATAGCTTAAACATAAATTTTCCTCCAGTGGCTCTAACAGGGTTTTCTACTTGTGCCTTTCAGAGATTGGTATAACAGATGTGCTGAATACCCCCTCTATGGCAAAACTCTCCAGTGATTATTATCGAACACCAGGTCAGATATTATCACTCACCAGTGCATTGGCATTTGTAAGTACATACATGTCCACGCCCACCCTTAAATGGAGGTTTCAAACACTATGTTATCATTGTACATTTTGTTCATTTACATTTACTAATCTATTGTTGAGCTGATGATTTGTAGGCAATCATATTATGCCAAAGCAGATTTCATTAGCAAACTTGTTTACTGTCTTCTTATGGTAAAGCGACTTATTTTACTTATTCTTCTATTGCTCAACAGAATGTGCCTGACTCCAACAACCAGAGTTGTCAGGACAAGTCAGACACTATAACACCACTACATGGTTCCAGTTTTCGTCAAGTGCCACCACATATATTAGCCCTTAGGAACTCAGCTTTGCATGCTTCTCCAACACTGAGCGAGTCTCGAGGCAGCTCAGGACAAAGTTTAAGATCAAGTCAAGCTTACAGCCTGCCAACGGAAATGAACAGCAGTGTAAAACAAGATAACAATAGCTTGAATAATTCTCTGTGTGAGTGTGTCAATGATGTCTCCGACACATCTAAACTGTTTAATGAAGAAAAACAAGAAAGCACAAGCAGAGTTGATGATATTTTGAGCAGCCCTTTGTTGGAGTCTGTAGATAAATGCACTCCTATCCTCCGTAGGAAAGCCTCTTTTCCTCTTCCACCCCCTGTACTCAGCCTGACTCCCACCTATAGAAATTCACCCTCGTCTAGTGATCTCAGTTCTATTACATCCATATCAAGTACTCCAGGGGTTGATGGTTTAGGGGACGGTATAAAACTGAAAAGCCGTGGATTACACAGAGGTGTGTTGAACGCTAAATTTCGTCTGAGTATGGATCAGAGCACCCCAGCTGAGACGTGTCAAACTGGGAATGTTAATAGACAAATAAACCTCCCTGATGGGAGTCTGATCAGCAATGTCAGTTATACAACTGCAATTGATGAAAATACCAGTGAAGATCTCTCACAAAGTGGCAGTAGTTCTGTCAAATATTTTGAAAACTTTGTAGAAAGTGGACGAAATTCAAGCCTGTCAAGATCAGTTTGTAGCAGACTGAATTATGACTCTGATCCAGAAGATTATCAATCTGACTCAGTTTGCTCTGGGGGCAAGAAACGAAGTTTTGACTGTGTTGATAAAAGTCCTTTCAAGCCTGGTAAGACTATCGCTCAGCCGAGAAGAAGATCTTGCTGTTCTGCCAGCTCCAGCACTGGATTAACTGCAGAGATATTTAATTTGGACATTGTAAAACCGTCATCATTCTTGTCAACTGCTAGTTCGAAATCGTCCGAATTAACACCTCTGAAACCTTTGGAGTCAACACAAAAGACTTGTAGAGGAGGCATCCCACTGCGGAGAAAAAACTCTCGCCAAAACCTTTTCGCTGCCGTGGGAAAGAACAAAGTCACTGATTTGAATAACATACAAAGTAGTAGCAACAATAAATTATTCAAAAAGCCAGAATGTTTATCAAATTCTTCGCCTGTTCACGGTCTTGATCAGTTGCAGTTCGACAAACCCTCGAACACAAGTATGTTTGATTTTTCATTTAGCGAGAAAGAGTCGCTTCAGCCTCTGGAACTCAACAATGAAAATCCTGATACCTCCCTCGGTGAAAACTGTGAACATGAAAAGGAAAATAATGGCGGATCATTTGACTTGGATAACTCTCTGGATAAATCTGTCGATGCAAATTGGAATGACAGTATTGATTTAAACAGATCAGAGCATGAGAAATCAATTGACAGCATTCAGTTCTGTGAGGGGGAGAAAATCCCAGAGATTGAGAAAGCCCGAGAAGCACTTTCATCCAGTCTTGCTGAAGAATGTGAAAAAATCAACGTCAGTTTTCAGGACTTATCATTTGAATCTCCTGAGTCTGAAAAAGGATCAAAAAGTAAAAAGAAGTCTGTTGATGTGTCACAAATGGATGCTACTATGATGTCGTTACCAGGGAGCCCTTACGTCTCCAGGAAGCAGCCCTTGCTTGCAAAACCTAAGAAATCGGCCAGTTCTACTCTGGTGACCTTTGCTGAGAAAGTAATGCATCTGGAACCTAGCTTATATAACAGCGAGATTGACAGATCTGGTAACTATTTCAGTCCTATTGGGAGTCTAGCTTCACTCTCAAGCAGTTTCAGTCATGCCAAAGTTCCTGTCAGTGTAAGTTTCCTTTTTTTGTTCACTTTAGTAGTCAGTG